TTCTTTCGGTATCTATACTATANTTGTACGGTTGTCCCAACGGATTAGTAAAGACCCTTGGATCAATCTTCAGAATTGAGTCTCTTAATTCTGATTGGTTCCTCCAGTAAAAATCCTACTCAAACGTTGTAAATGCAGTTCCGTGGTTTAATGACAGATGTAGATTTATTTTTAACAATATTGTTTTCCAATCCCTAAAAATAAGTTCTTTTTTTCGTTGTCCATAATTTTCTTTCGGTATTTACAAATTACGAGCATTGTAACTCTCTAAATCCAACTAGGGCTGGTACCTACCCTAAATCTACATGATGAGCTCTACCTCCCTAAGCACGGTGACTGAAACCATTTTTTCATGTTCACGATTTTCCATAATTTATCCTTAAATTTTGCAACCCCGCGTTGCAGTTTACCTGCGGTTACTCCATCAAGAAGGACTAACTGTTGACCGGTAAATTCTCACTCGGATAATGCAGTTGCAAACGTAAATACATACAAACAGCAGTTCACAAAGGAGGAAAATAAGTAACGGCGTCTCGAACTTCGCGCCACTTCCCAAGTTTCCCGGGAAGCGTCGAAGTTTGGAGTTGAGCCGAGGGGGTTTCTTTCGGCCAACGAGCGCTGTGCACATAAATTTATTCCGAAACTAGACTCTAGAGTGGGAAATAAATTGGCACCCGCAGACAATGGAAGGCTAGACAAATTGTCGCATGACAACTTACAACGCGCTCATAAACTGTTTATTTTTGAAGCACTTCACAATGACGATTTAACCGCGTTAACTTCCGCGGGCGAGGGCACCGGGGGTGAAAGAGGGAGGGGGTGGGGTGGGGGGCTCCTTTTCAAAGTTGGTGACGACGCGCGTAAAAAATGTTAATTCTCCTCCGGAAGATATTTCGGACTCCTCTGCCAATTTTAAGAGCATTCTTGAAATTTCTCCCCTCTCAACTGAGGAGAGTTCTTGCACGCCACATCACAAGAATTTTGCGATTCAAGTACATTTATTCTTAATTGAAATCTCATGAAATATGGTGACATGCATCAGCCTAAGATACATGATATCTTCCTTTAAAAATATCGAAATTTTTACTCCAGCATCTTGTAACCAGATGATTTGTGAAAAAAAAAAAAAAAAATTTGGTAGTTTAGGCTACTATCTAAGACAGTTTAAATCTCACTAGAATAAAGGGTTAATAGAACAGAAAACACAAAAGCTTGAATAAAACAGACAAAAAATTCAAAAAGAAATAAAATCAGCTGAACCAAAAATATACAGTCAGGGCGACAGTCAGGGAAAAACTGGAAAAGTTAGAGAATTTCAAAAAACCTAAACTTGCAGGAAATTCTGTCGACGGCGAGGCATTTAAAACAAAAACTGCAAAGAAGCGCGATATTGAAATTTAAAGGAAAATTTAAACAAAAATTCAAGGAATTTCCTTTTCTATGTCTATCAGTTAGTGTCAAGGATTTTTTTCTAGAATGGACAGGGAATTTCCGGAAATGTCAACTTTTCAGTTCAATCGTTAGACCTGTCAAAGCACAACTTTATGGTGCGGTTAATCAAAGCATTTAAATGCAAAAAGAGCACCCGCGTCGTGCAATTCTGCCAGGATTGTGCAATTTCGCAAATATTTTTCAGCGACTCAAACACTCCCCGCACAATAAAGCGTTCTCATAAAAAAGTGAGAAAAAGTCGAGGAAGAGAAACGAGCATCTTTATGGGCACAAGCCTCGGATAAATTCGCAATATCTATTATTGTCAGCAGCAGCTTGTAGCATGAGGGCTTTTATTGCAAATAATACATGCATTATTGCACTACATCTTATACCAAGGAGCCACGATTTTTGGCTCACTCACAAAATCACCTATTTGTACGGGAAAACGGATGGTTTTTTTTCTCCTTTTTTTACACGTACATACGTTGTTTCTAAAACGAGCTCGAAACATGGGTTGTTTTTTTAATAATGCATGTAGTTCAATGGAGATGTTGCATGTGTGAGGGATTTGCGTTTTGAATGTTGATTCTTATGTAAAAGTTCGCGAAAAACACGATGGTGCCACTGGTTTTCTCTGAAATCATCTCCTAAGCTCAAAAAAAACTCTCAAATTGAGGCCAAGTTGGAGGGGATATCCCACGCTATCCTGAGAGTCCACCTCTACATCAAGACGAACTCTCCATGCAAAGATAGGGAGCAAATACATTGACAGGGCTGCCACTTTATTTGGGGACTCCAAAACTGAGAACACATCATCCCTGCTAATGTCTTTGCTCCCTATCTTTGCATGGAAAGTTTGTCTTGTTGTAGAGGTGGACTCCCAGGATAGCGTGAGATATCCCCTCCATTTTGGCCTCAACTTGAGAGCTTTTTTTGAGCTTGAGAGTTGACTTCAGAGAAAACCAGTGGCACCATCGTGTTTCTCGCGACCTTTTACATAAGAATCAATGGTCAAATCCTAAATTCCTGACACATGCAACATCTCCATTACGCCGGCTCAATAATTTTGAGGAAACGGAACAAATTTGCACGTTTCCCGCTCGGTTCCCAGTCGAAAGACTCCCAGGAGTATGCACGCGCCCCGCTCCAGAATTCGGTCAGAGCGTCTCGAGCCGGGGCGCAACTCCACGTTTTGAGCGCGACACTCCGCCAAGGTGTGGGCAGGTTTTCCGGCATGACAGCCTCCCGGGAGGGGGGGGGGTGTCCCCTCCTATGGACCGAGCTCCGCGAGGCCCTTATTCGAGCCTAGAAATATCTCGGTGTAATGCAAGTGTCCTACGTTGCCGACTCGTCACGAACCCCTGATCCCGCAGATCGGTTAATACGATTTTCCGGTGGCATCCGGCAACACCGCAAGTGTCTATTAATACGCGTTATTCGTCCGAGCTTCTGGCCCGGGCGCTGCGCGTCGAAACCGCGTATCTGCGTATGGTTCGCAGTTGACTTTATGAGGTTCTTGCCCGGGTCTAAGTGCATGCCCATTAAAAAGCAGAAAAACGACTGAAGAAAATGCTCGATTCGGCCCGCGCGGATCATCGCCAAAAATGGCGCATCCTCCCTCTCCCCCCCACCCTCCTGCCCCCGGCTGTAGGTCAGAGTTCATGCGGTTGAAACGCGTGCGAATTGTGGGTCAGTTGGGGAGGGGGCGTACTTGGACACGACGGGAAACGTTCGCACTGTTTAAAACCCCTGCCCTTTCAAGATACAACTATTCGATCATCCATGTGGTTTCGTAGTATACTCTTTTTATTGAAGGCGAAACTTGCGAAACGCTCTGATTTGATTCACTTTATCCATCTTGTTTTGTTTTTAGAAATCTAATACAACTATTTGATCATTCAAGTTAGTTTGTGGTATGCTTTCCTGATTGAAGGCGAAATGCCCCGTATGGCAATTAATATTTTCGCGACCATAACGTTAGAAGTTTGCGGCTCTCTCGCGGCGCAAATGCGTTTTATGAGAGAGCTCATTTACTCAGAGGTGAGACGAGCCATTAGTGTAATGCAATCGCAATAATTTGACGTTTTTTATAAAACGTGGATGATCCCCAAAAATCAGAACAAGCGACAAAAATCGTTGTAGAGGAATTTTGCTTCCGTGGACTTTGTCATCTCGTTCAGGAGTTCAATTTATGGACGCAGAAATTAAGCTGTCAGGCAAAGCCTACCTTGCGCTTAAACCACCAAAACTTGAATTTTTGACCAGCGCATCAACATTTCCATGGCCTCCCTGACTCTGTATAAATCGTTGCCTCCGTTAACTGAGGTCCGCCTCCCTGCGAGCGCTGTCATTCGCTGGAGCGGCGGCGATTCCTCTGTCGCGATGGGCATCGGCTAATTGTATCTGAGGGCATGGAGGTATCGGGCGACGGTATTGACTGTTGAGAGCCGGGCATTACGGGCAATTAGCCGATGAATCGACGACTCAGATCGGCGATCGGCCGATCGGGGGCGCCCACCGGATCCGAGTCAGTGGCGTGGCGTGAATTGCGATAGCTCGATTGTTATGCCATTTAAATCTATGTAAAAGGATCGATAAACAGGGTGACACCTTAATAATCGATTCTTTACCATAGGTTTAAATGGCATAACAATCGATATACCGCAATTCACACCACCGGATCCGAGTCATCCGAGTGATCCATGCCCAGAACAGTAAACACGTCATAAAACGGGCTTGTCAGCGCCGAGCGGCCTTTACGACCTCTGCGTACTCCTACGGCCACCACGGGGACACCGCCCCCCCTCCCCCTCCGTCCCCTCCGCATGGCGTCCCCTATGGCGTTGGAGTACGTGCATATCATGCACCTTGCACACGCCCTAAGTACCTCCGCATAGACGTTGCCAAGCGGGTCTCGTCCGGTGCCCGTTCGCTCGACTTGGCAACAATGTTTTAAAGTATGGATACGCCGGGATAAACCCGATTTTGAAAGGGTGCTTCGGAATACTTATCGATCCTTACGGATACGAAAAGCAGGAACTTAGAAAAGTAGCCTTGGAGGTGCACGATTTTTCTTGGAAGTTCATCGTATCGATGGCTTAAGTAAAGAAATGTATAACTGAAATTGCGATGTTGCAAGTTTACTTGCGTGTTTCACTTTTTTTTAAAAGAAAATCGACCAACAGTCTACATTGAAATTTTCCGTGAATTTTCTCCACTCGCTCGAAAAAAAATAACACGAAAGTGCAGCAAAAAATTTGAAAAAGTTTTCCTTTAGGAACATGAAGCATAATGAGATTTTTAAAAGTTGCAACCCCGCAATGTAACTAATCGACTTTAGGAGATAGCCCGCTTCGATTGTGTGTTGAACTTTTGAGTCTTAGTTGAATTTCACTATTTTTTTTTTGTTTTCGTGCAGGATATCTCCTCCTGAAAAACCAACTTTTTCGTTTCTTTTAAATGTTTCGCTTCTTTCTCCTCCTATGAGTAGAGAAATAAGTATTAATATTTTATAGTAATTTAGATTCGCCGTGAATTAACAAGCATTTGAATTTTTTTGTTTACAGATGGGCCTGCTTGACTCGATAACCTACTAAAATGTAGGAAAAAGTGAGTAAAATTTATTTTACCAATAAAATATTGGGACTTATATTCAGGAAAGGGAAACATGAACTCTCATGGATTCTTGATGCTTTGTGACCGAGAAATAATTACGAGAGATGTTGGAAGTCTCGAACAATTTCCAAAATTATCGAGGAACTCAGGCCGTTAAAACTTGATGTCCGATCCTTTCCCTCCAACTACGGCAAGCGCCGATCAACTCACTTTCAAATTGCATACCTTTATTAAAGTTGAAGAGAGTTTCAAATAGAGAGACGGTGTAATTAACAAACACCGAAGTTCTGGAAAATTGAGTTTAAATATGTATCCCGCCGTTTTGCCCGCGTTATCATATCAACTTCATACATCTCGAAGCTAAGTGCCACGGTTTTCGCGAGGATATTGTCTCGCTGCTCAAGTCTCAATATTGTGAGCATTAATAATTGAAACTGCTATTACGCCCTTCCTTAGTACGAGGTGTTGCCCTTTAAATGGCAAAATAGCTGATTTTTGCCGCACTGGAGAAAAAACAAATTTCCTGGCAAAGTAGTCACCAAATTTTTTCTCAAATCTTTCGAAACGTTCTGAAAGAAAATATATGCTCTGAAGTAGGATTTTTCATTTCTTAAACTTCTGTTTGCATTGCTAAGCTGATGTTTTAAGAAATATTCCGCAAGGAACAGGCGTTCATCGTTCGAGCAATATACGCTTTGCGCAGCTTTTGCACTTTTTAGGCACTTCCGGGTTGAAATGACAAGGGAAAAGGGTCATAAATTGGAACAAGTGCAGCGTGTAATATACGTTTCAAAGCCTGTAATATAGACCGGTGTGTAATAGACGCCTCGTGGCATGATGCTTTTGAGAATGCGATATCACTTCATATAAATTTGAGGAAAGGATTCTTTCAAAGTATGCAAGACAACATTTTATCTCTCAAAATCTAAGGAAATTGACCATAAATGAGTCATCAAAGATTACCGTCTACTGAGAGATGACTTTGAATGTCTCACAGGAAAAATGTGAGGCTAATCAAACTCCAAACAGACTGGAACCCCCCCCCCCCCTAAAAATATGATTTATAGTAAAACTTATATACTTATCACCGATGAAAAAGGGGCTGACTTAACATTCTGGATGTAAAAAAGTGTGCGACATCTCACAAAACTCTAAATTAACCGCCGCAACAGTTACTATAACGATGTGAAGATGTAAAGCTAACTGCTGTGGCGGTTAATTCCGCGTTTCACTGGAAAAAAAAAACACATTGGATCAAGAGTCCAGACTCTTGAAAACATTGACAAGAAAAAATACTCTTGATTCAATCAGATTTAAGCTTAAATCAAAAGGAAATCCGCTCAAATTAAGAGGCTTGGTTCTTGATTTAAGCAAAAATCCGATTAAATCAAGAGTATTATTTCTTGTCGATGTTTTAAAGAGTCTGAACTCTAGATCCAATGTGTTTTTTTTTCCAGTGCATCCAGAATGTTAAGTGAGCATCCTTTTTTTCGGTGAACCTGGACAGTATCCGGAATTTTTCGCCCTGAAATCCTGATTCTGACAGCCGCTCGAATCAAGCCGGCTCAGTTTTTAGGCGTGTCTGCGAGAGCATCGTTGCCTATTGGACGAGGGTCCTGCAGCGGAGGAAACAATTGACACAGTCGTGATAAATGCTGNGGGGGGGGGGGGGGGGGGGGGTATAAATACGGCGGTGGAGTGCAGTGGAAATACCTCCGAATTGAATCGTCCAACCTCGGAATGGGGACTGCTCGGGCTACCGGGACAGTTAACGAAGATAGGTTAAGTGGCATGAACCCGCGATGCGCCATGCAGGGCGCAGGGACTCGGCCCACCTTTTTTCGCTCCAGTGACGCCCCCCTCCGCCCCCTGACCCCCGGCCCCCCGGCCGCGGGCGATGCCCGCCGGGCAACAGAGATCCGTGCCCAGGGCTGCCAAATCCCACTATTTTACCATCCGGAATGGTGTTTTTCATGATCTCCGTCACATCCATGGACATTTGTCGTGTTCGTAATGGATATTTGTAATTCGGTTTGAAAAAAGATTCGTCTTTTGACTCCGCACTTGGGAGAAAGAATCCAAGTACATGTACATGGAGATGAAATCTTAATTTGCATCAATCTGACACTAAGGAATACTATCTGTAATAATTGCCAAATAAGTATTGTTCCTTTTGAACTTTTACTTACTTGACGGTGGATAAGACCAATAATAATTGCATTTTTACGATTAAGTTATAATATTACCGGTACCTTGCCCTTGGTGAAATTATTTCTGAGGCAAAAATGAGTTCCTTACTTGCCAGAATGTTTGCAGAACATTTCTCCAGTATACAATGGCTCAATTTTGAGTTATCAAAAAGTCTCTTTTGCGGTCATAAATTGGCTAAATCTTGAACCGACAAAAGGTGAAATGTCCAAGCCCCAAAGAGCCTCTTCGATACTCCTTTTAGTCGTAAGTCTGACACTTAGTATTAGGGCCGACTTAAGTTAGCTACAGATGCTTGACACAAAGCCATCAAACAACAGGAAAAAAAAAAAACTATTTCGACTTTCACATCGCATTGCATAACCGCTGATATGAAGGCAAAACAAATCCGACCGGTCAGATTCTTGCTCTTTAGAAATTCGTCTTTTACATGACCGTCTCATTTTATTTTCTCTGCCCTGTTGAATATTTTCTTACAACGGTTTAGCAACGCGTGAGAATTATTTCAAGCTGGTTACGCTGGTTCCTGCTTATTCTTTTTGGACAAAATAGTAAACGGTGTTGTTTCTCTCGCTTAGTTACTGAAAACTGCAACGCTGCGACTTTTCTTCGTGTTTGATGTGAAATCTGGCAACTCTGCACTCTCGTCATTCTAAGTTACCAATTTCATATAGCTTTTCTTAAAGAAATTCTTTTAGCCAAGGACGTGTTTCATTCCAATCGAGTAGACGAATTCTTTCTCACAATTTTGCGTTATTCAAGGGTACCAATTACACTGCTTTTCCTAAAAAAATTCTCTTAGCTAAGGATATGTTTCACTCTAATCGAGTAGATAGAAGAATTTTTTCTTACAATTTTGCGTATTTCGGTCGTATGACCGCGAGGTCTTCAATTTTACAGTCAGACTTTTTCCATTCTCCCGCGGAAAAGCGCCATAATTGACGATATATGTCGGTCATCAAGGATAGCCAATTCTTTTATACTTATTTATTTTTCTTTCTGCGGTGCCTAAAGCGCGACGGCTGAAACGAAATTTGCGCTGCTTACAGGGACGCAACGGCAAACGGGCGATTTTAATGGAGCAACCCGGCTGAACCGTCGCTGCGGTGCGGGTCGGCACTCGGCAGTGGCCGTACCATTTACATGTCTCAATTGAACTTAATCAAGCTTACTCCTCAATCAATCAGCCGCTGAGCTCTCCTCTCATTAGATGCCATCGGAGGAATCTCCGGTGACCTCATCGGTGAGACGATAAAATTCGGTGCCGCTCCACACTTTTAAACTAATTATATTCTGAACTCGGAGACGAAATATTTCAGAGATCCCGCGCTTATCATCTAATTAAAATTGACGAGTTAGTTGATTGTGCGTTGCTCGAAGATGGCTTAAATGTATATCTTCAGAGACAAATAGAGACCCTATTTTCATCCTGGTGGCCCCCTTGAAATTACCAGCTGTGATGAACAAATCATGTCTAGGTTTTTAGATTCCGTTCGATACTTATCTCCGTAGCCAAGATTAAGATCAGTAGGCTGATAGTTGAAATTGATAGACAAAGCTATAGACAAAGATGACAAAAGGGATATGAAGGGATCTTATTGGTGGAAGCGAGTGGTTGCAATCGGCATAGGAGGTTGATATTAGACTATCTAACGGAAAATAACGAGAGACCCTATGGTTAGTCCATCATTTACCCCCATATAGTCTACAAGAACCACGTATTTCTACCAATAGGATCTTTCCATTCTCCTTATGTCTTCTTAGTCTATAACTTTATCTATCCATTTCAACTATCAACTTGCAGATAAGTGAAGACGCTTTTAAGATGATGTGGAGTTTCAGGAAATTAGATTTTCCACCACTATATCACGGTGCTTCCTAAAAGCCGCTATGTTTCTCCGTTTGAGATGGATATCTCGGAAACCTACACTGAAGAAAAATATAACACATTGGATCTAGAGTCCAAACTCTTGAAAACATTGGCAAGAAAAAATACTCTCGATTCAATCAGATTTTTGCTTAAATCAAAAGGAAATCCGCTCAAATTAAGAGGTTTGGTTCTTGATTTAAGCAAAAATCCGATTGAATCAAGAGTATTTTTTCTTGTCGATGTTTTCAAGAGTCTGAACTCTAGATCCAATGTGTTTTTTCCCCGTGTAGAACTACTAACAGTATAATCGCGAGAACTATGAGGTCAAATTTAAGATTAAGGGTAGAAATTATCAATTTTTAAAGCATATCGGTGGATCGTTGATGGAATTTTAATAGGAAATCTAAGTTTTGGTCATTGAGTTTTCATCCAAGTGTTCGTTTTCGACTCACTCCAAAGAAAGTCGTGAACTTTCGTGTGCGGTGGATTGGCCGAGATCCTTACTCCTCGTCAGACTGCGTCTTGGCAGGTGACCGCAAGATAGCGCTGGAGCTCATAATCCAGCCAAGTTCGTAACTCCAGTAAACCGCGCTGAAGTTGTGAGCGTTCCTAATGGAAGTCGACCGTGTCGGCGAGAAGTTTTGGGTTGCGGGCCAGAGGTGCTTTTACATTTTGATCCACTTTTTGTAAATGCACTATCTGGTACGACACTCCAAAGCCAAGTTTTTGCCCCATGATCATCAATCGCCGACCGCGAGAAGGAGCCAACTCTAACCTTTGCGCTCCGCTCAGTATCTGCCCAGAGTAATAACCAGGAAATCGTAATAAGTTTGTCTATTTTTCCGCTTGAACAGTGGTGAGTTTGTCGTAGATTTTTTGCCCTCTTCCTATTGCATCTTCAAACATTCCCTGACAC